ACGCCCACAGGAACAAGGAGCAGGGCGGGAGGAGGGGGACCCGGAGGGAGGGCCCAGAGGAACCGAGGGACCACAGGAGAGGCGGCAGGGATCAGCAGAGTCAGGAGGCCTGCGTCTGCTGCAGATGAGGAGGCGACGGGCCCTTGGAGGCCGGCGCCTGGGGCAGATGAGGAGACGAGGACGAACCCTTGGGGGCCGGCGCCTGGGGCAGATGAGGAGGTGAGGACAGACCCTTGGGGGCCGGCGCCTGCGGCAGAGGAGGAGGCGAGGACGGACCCTTGGGGGCCTGCGCCTGGGGCAGATGAGGAGACGAGGACGGTCCCTTGGGGGCCTGCGCCTGGGGCAGATGAGGAGGCGACAGGCCCTGGGAGGGCGGCGCCTGCGGTAGAGGAGCCCTGCAGGCTGGGCTGGGGACACAGGCTGGACCGGTGACAAAGTCCCTGCAGGCTGGACCGGAGCGACCTTCAGAATCACCACTGGAACTGGAGACGGAGGAGACGTCAGACCAGAGGCGACGTCATCAGACGAGCTGACTTCGGGGGAGGCGACGTCATCAGACGAGCCGACTTCGGGGGAGGCGACGTCATCAGACGAGCCGACTTCGGGGGGAGGCGACGTCATCAGACGAGCCGACTTCGGGGGGAGGCGACGTCATCAGACGAGCCGACTTCGGGAGGAGGCGACGTCATCAGACGAGCCGACTTCGGGAGGAGGCGTCAACTTCAGACGAGCCGACTTGGGAGGAGGCGACGTCATCAGAGGAGGCGTCAACTTCAGAGGAGGCGACATCAGAGGTGTCGACCCTTGGGTTGGAGGCGTCGACCCTTGGGTTGGAGGCGTCGACCCTTGGGTTGGAGGCGTCGACCCTTGGGTTGGAGGCGTCGACCCTTGGATTGGAGGCGTCGACCCTTGGATTGGAGGAGGTGTTGACTTTCATCCGCTTCTGGTCCTCTGGCTTCTGGACCGCCGGTCCCCGAACCGCCGACCTCTGGGCTGGTAACGTCTGCTTCTGGGCCTGCACCGGACCCATCTGCTTCTGGGCTGGTACCGTCTGCTTCTGGGCCCGCATTGTCTGCTTCTGGGCCGGAACCGGAACCGTCTGCTTCTGGGCCTGCACCGTCTGCTTCTGGACCTGCACCGTCTGCTTCTGGACCCCCCCTGGAACAGGCCTTGATTGAACGAGCAGTGCTAGTGCTGAAGACAGGGAGCGCAGAGCGTCGAGTCGGAGCTGATTAGAATGGGCGCTCTGTTGAAGCCGGACCAGCCCAGCCCGTTGACTGGCCAGTTCAGTTGGCTGGATTGTGGGTGTGGCTCCACCTCCCACAGATGACAGAGGAGCCGAGTGGACCGGAGGCGGGACAGCTGGTCCAGCCGGAGCCGCGAACAGTTCGTCCAGCTGGAGCTCAGCGAGCAGATCGTCCAGCTGGAGCCCGCTGAGTTCAGCGAGCAGATCATCTAGCTGGAGGACTTGGAGTTCGATGGTCTGACGAACCTGGGCTGTCTCAACCTGTAGACTGGCGTGCTCCGCCCACAGGGCTGCGAGCGCAGCTCCTCCTCCTGCAGACGCCGATTCGGCCGGAGACGGGACCGCTGGTCTGACCAGGGGCGTGTCCGAACTGGCTCGCCGAGCACGGCCAGCGGTGGGCTCGCAGCTCCGTCCTGAAGCGCAGGGCTGCGGTGGATTCCGGCGTCTCTCCCCACGCCGTGGACCGACCCCGGGGGAGCAGAAAGCCAGCCTCGTGCCCTTGAAGCTGGAGCGATCCCGGAGCGTCTCTCCCTCCAACCTCCCGTCCGGTTCCGGAAGGGCGGCGAGGAATGCCGAGGCAGAATGTCGGGGACGCCGTCTGCGGCGAGGCGGAGCTGGAGCTGGGGAAGGAGAAGCCGGTCGATAGTCGGCGGAGAGGAACTGGAATAAATACTTCCATGGGAGGATCTCCTCGCTGGACCCTTCAGGGGGTCATGTCATTCTGTCACGAGCGTGTGGCGAGGTGAGCTGAGGTGAGGCAAGGATCCACACGCGGGGAGGAACAAGGCGAACAGGTGAGTCCGTTTAACAAAGGTTTATTAGAAACACATGCTGGACACTGAAACAATGACACGACAGGGAACACAGAACAGAAGGGGTTTAAATACAAGAGGAGCGGGAGCTATGGTGATTGGGAAACAAGAGGCAGGTGGGAGCAATTAACGGAGAACAGACAAAACCTAAGAGTAGACAGGACAGGGCGTGACAACCAGCAGACCACCACTATTGTTAACAGGCAAGTCATTCACAAAGATGTAACAGCCGTCATCTGAGCCAGCCCAGCAGGCCCTGTAGATGGACGATGGAGTGGACAGTGAGAGGAAGCGTCCCAAAGCTCTCTCTGCAGACCGTCCTATATGATGTTCCTCTGGCCAGAAACGTCCAGCCACGGGTCTGCTCCAGCCCTCCATCCACGTCTGGATCCTCCTGCAGCAGATCCAGCTGCACTGTTAAAGACTTCCTGCTCACTCAGTTTAAATAAATGATCCAGGAAGAGTCACTCAGGTTAATCCTGCTTTAACCGTACAAAACTGGTCCATACTGGTTTTGATCTGTAAATAAGTTTAACCTATTATAAATAATCTTTTCTCCTTGCCATCTTTTCATTTTCTGTTCATGTAACATGTTCAAAAACATCTGTATTAATAAATCTGGTGATAAAATCAATGACCAGAAAGTTATTAGTATTTGTTTTAATAAATGTGTTCAAATATGAAACAGCTAAATAACATTAACATGATACATGTCCGAATCCACGGGAAGGATGCTTGTAAGAGTGCGATGACGTCACAGCGCAGCAACGAGTACTGTCCTTTTTAAAAAAAAATTTTTATTATTATCATTAAATGCTTATTACAATTTCTCGTGAGACAACAACACATAATGGAAACATACAAGGCATCTTTAGTAACAAAAGAAAAACAAATAAACTTAAAAAAGAGGCACTAACTTGGCACTAACTTGCTTTAGTAAATCCTTACTTTGGTTAAATAAATCAGTTGTTGAACCGCCCACTCCTCTGTTTGGTCTCCTTTCTTATTACAGCCCACCACTTCCAGTCTGGGTTGTAACAATCTGCAGACAGATTTCTGAGTATCTCCTCCTTTGGTATACAGATCCTCACTGAGCCAAGTACTGTGAACAAATAGTTTCTCCATGATATTATCCAGCAAGGTCCCATTTTTGTCAAAACAAGGGTGAGGTAATGAAAAAATTGAAATATTTCATTAAATTAACATTTAAATTATTTATATGCATCATTAAAATAAAATAAAAAACATGTTTTGAAATATATAAAGTGCACCAAACTTGACTCAGTCCATTCAACAATTCTAAATGGACAATTATGTAACTCATCAATTAATTATTTGAAAGGATAATTTGTCAATTAAATGCTGAAAAAAATAAACAATACATTAATGAGGCAAGAACTTTTTAAACTTGAACATACCTACACCCACAAGTCTATTTTTACCTGGAGTCTCCTCTCAAGAGTGGCTGAAGTAATATTACAACTTTGACAGAATACAAATTCTCTCTCTCTCTCTCTCTCTCTCTCTCTCTCTCTCTCTCTCTCTCTCTCTCTCTCTCTCTCTCTCTCTCTCTCTCTCTCTCTCTCTCTCTGGAAGCCCCACTCTAAGGGCGTTTGCAGTGTATTAGTGAGTCATATATTGTACAACCACAGTCATAAAGTTTTCAATCAGTAGTTTTATTTCAGTATGTATTTTTCCAGTATCACAAAAAATATAATTTTATATGGTTAAAGCCATCTAGCTTATGTGCACTTTTTAAAACACTGCCCAGCAAACATTCAGACGTTTAATGACAGTTGAACGGTCACAACTGTAAAATAATATCACAGGAATTAGGAAAAACTAACATGACATGTACTCTATGTTCCTTGCCCGGACTCAAACCTGGATCCTCCAGGGGGAGAGTCACCCGCTCTCCCAGCTGAGCTATGACAGCAACTACTGAATATTAGATTTTTTTATATAGATAGGTAGAGGGTAAAGTGCGGGGTAAACTAACCAATCAGAGGACAGAGAAGATCTGCCACAGGCCACGCCTCCAGAGTGCCAAAATCCCTTCACAGCCGAGCGAGCAGAGTCAGAAACCGAGCGCGCAGAGAGGCTGCCGCGCGCGCACGTTTTCCTCTGCCGTGTGCTCGTTGGCAACGCGCGCATGCAGGTTTGTCACTTGTGCACGTCCTTGTGCGCTCACACACACAGTTTACTCCCTCTCAGTGCACAAATGACCTCTCGCAATGTATATTTTCACTCGCGAGTCCCGTTCACACGCGTGATGTGGACCCAATCCGCATGCACCGGTTGTGGCACTCCTCTGACGCCATAGAAAACATAGACCAAAATGGAAAATAGAAAAAAAAAACTAAGGCTAAAGCACAGGAGCCCTGACAGGAAGAAGAAAGCAGAGCAAATATTGAAGGCACTCAAAGGGAGAGAAAAACAGGAAAAAAGAGGAGGACTAATAAAAAGGGAAAATAACTCATGTCAGAAGAGGGGAGAGTTTCGCAAATCCAGTTAAAGGTAAGCTTGTCGAAAATTTAGTGTAAGGGGCCCCATGTCTGTGTTCGCCTTGGGCCCCCAAATTGCTAAATCTGCCTCTGGTTCGGGGATCCTGGAACTCCTTGTGAAGCACCTCTAGCAGGTGGAGTCGTCCCTCAAATCCCAGAAGCCGTTTATCTATGGACTGTAGTAAATCTAAGACATCCTTATGGGGAGATGAGGCCTCGGGCAAGTCCTGGGGACGGCTCCTCTTGGTCCCAGGTGTTTCCGTCTCAGCTGCTGCTGCTTTCTTCGGTCCCATGACAAAAATCTCAAAAACCTCTATGCTTTTATTTCATCTTATTCCAGCTTACAACATGATTATGGTGCATGATGTGTTTAGTTTGAGAAGGCTCTAATAATATTGTCATCTCAGAGCACTAGTTATGCAACAAGGAAAGACACTGTTTTGAGGTTTAACTGCAATTCTTTTTATTGAATCATGACAGCTTTACAAAAGATTTTCATCTGGAAATATGTCTACTATGCATGAAAATGTTATTACTTTTTGTTCCTTAAAAACATCTTTACCTCTTGATTAGTTTATAAAACATAACATTTAGACACCTTAAGCTACACCTGTTCACAAAGTGCAGATGATGTCGCTAAAAACACACAAAGGTCCCCATTTCGTTCACAAACAACATCACTTTCCTCTTGGAAGACGTAACTTTTTTTTTTTTACAAGAAATCTCAAAAAGTACATTGCTTTTTGTAAGAAAAGCATAAATCACACTGGCACTTTTAAAAACCGTGACAAATGTAACATTTCAACATTTTACAAAAGGTCTGCAAGGTAACACTTAACAGGTTAAACACGGTAACCATAGTCAAAGATTTGCAAACCATTTATAAGAAACAAAGAAACAATCCTTGGGTCACAAATGATCACAAATCAATCGCTCAGCATCAGCCCTGATCATTTTTCTATAAAATTAGGCTGAGATTTACTGAAAAGCATCACTTAGTCAGTAAAACGATATTTGATCGTAGCTTTAAGGTCCAAAATCCCCTAAGTTCATTACCTCTGTTATGCCATTTATTAGCTATTGTTGATTATTTTTTGTTATTTTGTTCAGAAAGGATATTCTAGCAAGCAACCAAAGGAAAAGTGATTCTTTAAATTAATATATTAAATCAATGTCTAACAAAGACTCAGTGATAAGACTCAGTGAAATGTAGTTCAGTAACAAACAAAGTTACTTAAAAAAAGGACAAATGAGGTTAAAGATAAATTTAATTAATACTGAAAATTTAAAATATTCTCTAAAACATAAAAAAACTGTACAAAGGTAAAGCAATGCAGAAGCCCTACTCACACCCCCCCCCCCCCCCCCGCCCAAAAAAAATAAAAAGAAAAAGAAAATCAAACTTTTGTGCCAAAAGAGTCAAACAAATCCAGTGAATATATCAACACAAGACAAATAAATAACCAGTGTACACATCCAGGAGGCGTTCTTTCTGACAGACACTACCTTTCAACAGTTTCTAGGTTTTTCATACATTAAAAAAACATAAATATAAAACATCTTTCTTTCAGCTCACAAAATGCACATAAATAAATACAAAATAACTAAAACTGCTCTTATTAGTATAAAAACTGATTATGAAAAGGGAAATTTCTTCAGTCTTGTCACAAATTTGTTACTCTTTATGACAGAAATGTTGTTGTTTTGTGTGTTCTGTGTTCAATCTGAGCAGGTCCAATTTATTTAAACTTCTCTGGGATTAGATTAATCTGTGAATGGATGCTTGTGGGCGGGCTAGAGATGCCCTCTGACCAGTCGGACATGTTGGAATGTGGGGATGAGCTGGACCACTGGTCAGGGGAACCAGGGGATGGGGTCAGAAAAGGATGGTCGGGCACCTGTAACTGGTGGTTGGGTGTGTTGTCCATAGGGCCTGTGTAGCTATGTTGGGAGGGAGGGGTAAGAAACTGGGTACCAAGCATCTGCGTCTCCTGTGGCATAATAGTGTGGATGGGCACTGATCGTCCTGTGCTGCTGTTCGGCTGCATGTCTGAGCCGTTCAGCTCAACCGTTGGGAAGCTCTGGTTGAGGGATTGACCAGCTGTTGTGGAATTGGAGTTTTGATGCTTGAGCTGCCGTGAGCGAGCCTGCTGCATCAAGTGTGCAGACGAGCCAAGGTGGCTGTTCTGTAGATTCTGGTAGCCCATTATCTGAGACAAAGTGGCAGTACTGACACCATGCAGGGCACCCATCATGCTGTGTGCAATGGATGGTCCTTGGGTGAAGCTTCCCTGCTGGCCTACGCCTGGATGCATCCTGGGGATCCAGTCACACTGACCCCCTCTGCCACCACCTATGGAGGTGGTCCCCTGAGCATTGGGACTGGACACGGGAAGGTGAGAAAGACGGGGAGGGTCAAACGACATGCAAGTCATATCTTTACCCAGATTAATCTGGCCTGTAAGAGAATCTCCATTGCCTTGTAGATGATTTAGAGACATGGGGGATTGCTGGAAGGGCGATGCCATAGGAGGAGAAGCTACATCAGAAAGGTAGCCATGAGGCGACTCCAGTGATTCAACTGGAGAAAGAACAGATGTTGTGTCCAGCAAGTTACTCTTTCCATCCAGAGATTTTTTCTTCTTAACCCTAATGTCCTTACCCCCATCCTTCCCCCCTTTTCCACTAGAACTTGATTTCCGGGACTTCTTGACAGAAGGAGCTGGCTTGAGGTTGCTGAGATAGTCATTGGGAGAACATAGAGGTGGAGAGAGTGTGGAGGTGTTTAAGGGGGCACTGTGAAGCCCAGGACTCCTAACCACGTTGTATTCGTCTAGAAGCCGAACAATGTCATGATGCATTCGCTCCTGGGCGATATCCCGAGGCAGCTGATCAAGATGGTCAGTGATCTCACGATTGGCAAAGTGCTCAAGAAGAACTTTTGCAGTTTCATAACTGCCTTCACGGGCTGCAAGGAACAGTGGGGTCTCCTCCTGTAGAAGAAGAAGGAAACAGTAAATTAAATAAGCATATGATATATCTAGATGTCACATGGATTCATCGCAATCATCACATCCCGTACCTTGTTGTCCTGCATGTCTTTGTTAGCACCATTTTTCAGCAGCACAACAGCAGCCTCCACATTGTTCACAGCCGAGGCCCAGTGAAGAGCAGATTTACCTGCACAGATCAAAGATTAAAATTGTTTATCTTCATTACTCCCAGCACAGCAAGCCAAGTGTGGAGGTGCCAGGAAGATAAAATGGTAGGTACCAGTATCGTCAGTGGCGTTAGCATCAGCGTGACAGTTGATAAGCTCTTCCACCATGCCGTCAACTGCTAATCGGGCAGCTAGGATCAGTGGTGTTGTTCCATCATGCATACGGGCATCAAGGTCGGTGGCACGATTTCGGATTAAAATCTGTGAGGAAACAAATTTGTTTAGCAAAATGATCTTAAGCTGCTATAATGACGGTCAAAACAGAACATCTAAAACAGGAGAATTTGAGACTTTGGATGAGACAACGGTACCTGAAACACTCCCTGTGCGTCGGCGGCCACAGCAGCATGAAGCGGAGTACGACCCATGTTGTCCTGAACATTGGCATCGGCGCTGGACTCCAGTAGGCGTTTGGCAGCATCTGAGCGAGCATAACGAGCGGCCAGGTGAAGGGCCGTCTCACCCGTGCGATCAGTCTGGTTATGAAGGTTGGCACCCTGGTAGATGAAGTCAGAGATTATTTCTGCTGATGGATCCTCTTCTTCTTCACTGTTACCAGTCTCCAATCCTCCACCGCTGCAGGACGCAATCATCAAAGGCGTGAAGCCATCTGAAAATAGACCCAAAAGAGGTTACGCATCATTCGATTTTAGGATACAGATTTACGGAAAGTCTTGTTTTTTTTTGTGTGCGTGTACACACCTGGTCCTCTGACATTGACATCCATGCAGTCATTCTCTATTTCTCCCTGTGGAGGTGTAGGCGCAATGGATGCTATCCTCAGGTCAGCAGCATCCAGATGCTGCTGGGTCCATTTCCTCTGGTCAGTGTGATCGCTCAAATCTAACATGGACTGCTCTTCAAACTGAGAGCCATAAAAAAAGGATCATCAGTATCAAATGCACCAAGGGCATAGGCTGTGATGGTTTGGTCTTTGATTTGTTGCAAAAACAAAAGGCAAAATTGTCATCATACCTTGAAGCGTCTACAGTCTGCGTCATCGTCACCCCATTCATTTTGATTGTCGTCCATGAGACTGATGTCGGAGTTTTTCATTGGTCTATTTAAAGGATGAGAAGAAAGACAGATTCTTAAATCTCCACACTAGATACCATAAACTACAGAATCTATTTCAAAGTGCTTCTGCTAGTTTATAAATCACTCAAAGGCATGAGGCCAGAATACATGTCGAATCTCCATCCTATATATACGCCCAGCAGGGCGCTGAGATCCTTAGGAAGCAGTCAGCTGGTCGAACCTCAGGTCAGAACCAAACAGGGTGAAGCTGCTTTTAACTACTATGCTGCACACAAATGGAATCAGCTTCCTTATTACCTTAAATCTGCCTCAACTCTAATAACTTTTAGATCAAAATTGAAAACATTCATGCATTCATCAGCCTTTGAATTACTTTCTTAATCTGCAGCTTATGCTTCTGCTCTGCTCACCCTTAAACTATCTCTTTCTTTTTCATTTTTAAATCTAAATTGAATTTCTGTGTGCTTTAATTGTGCTGTCACATAGATTTTATTGTTCTTGCTATTCTTGCTAATTGGAAAACACATTGAATTGCCTCTGTGTATGAAATGTCCTATATAAATAAAGCTGTCTTGCCTTTCATAGACCTTTTGTAAAATATATAAATGTAGTGTTTTAGGTTTAAATTCCAACAGAAAACTGCCATGATTTCCTATTTTTAAAGTCCCCTTACTTCAGTCCAACAGAATCCTCTCCCAGTGGCTCTCTTCGTTTCTTTTTGCTGGGCTCAGACACTTTGAATCCCTCAGGAAACCACAACTGGCCGTGTTCTCGTCGCCTCTTACGAGACACTACAATACCCAGGCAGATAAAACCCAAAGCAGCAAGGCCCAGGAAGACTACATACATGGGGTACAGCTCTGTGCCTGGGGGAGTGGGTCTCACACCTGGAAAAATAGTAAAAACTTAGCATTTGGCTTTAAATCTTAAACGCAATAGTGAGTGACAGAGCTAAAGCACGTACTTGTGACAGCTTCAATGTAAGGGACGTTGAGATTCCCACTGGTGGCTAGCGCTCCAAGAAATGCAGCCACATCTGCAGCACTTTGGAAACATTCAGTAGACTGCTGGTAACATTGACGGTTGTCAATCTCCAAGTACACAATAGACCTATGACCAGAAATGCATAGAAGGTTAGCGCAGTACATTTTATCATAACCCTGATTTGGAAACTTGTTTGCTTGAAAATGTACTGATATTGTATCTTCTTACCCTTTGACTTGTACAGGATCGAGCTCCCTGCGTTTCCGTGGGCTGACCATAGAGGACACGCTCTCCTTCACCTGATCCAAAACACTGGCCGGAACTGAAGTCCACTCAGGCCAGCCATCCGCAGAGCGTTTCAACACATTATGTTTAACTAGGTCTTGTTCATTGCCATAATAGGGAAAGATCATTGGCTCTCCTTTGGCATCACGACGGAACACCACATTAGTATGGAGAACACTGCTCAGCTCTCTAAGGAAGGATGAAGATCTGTTTTTAAGGTGCTCTGGGGTAATATGAACAACCAGAACCAAATGTCCATCTGCAAGCTTCTCTGGCATGTTGTTGGCGCAGTCGAGACCGTCCCATTCACATTCTGCATTGTTGCAGCCCTGGTCGCAATGACCGTCTGCATAGTGATCTTTGCAGTACTGATCATACAGAGGACTGAAGAAATAAGAGAACTGTGTTAGTAATCTTACACAAAAACAGAATTTCTTGACTCATTCCAAAAAAGTATTTTCCAACTCACTTGCACTGTCCTTCCTGTCCTTGACAATCAAAGCCATCATAGAGACAACCTGGGCTGTTGCACTGGCCGTCACACTTCCCGTTGTTGAAATAACGCCAACACTGAAGAGCAGTGGAACAGTTTTGCCATGGATCGTCAAAATTAAGTGAGCAGTCTCCTCCATCCCATCCGCAGGCATGGTTGTTGCACAGAGAGTCACAGATTTGGTTTCCTGCCCACTCATCACACTGAGGAATCTCGCAGCTCACCTCCACTTTCGGAGGTGGGGTGATGTCTCGGCCAAACCCCCCAATGAAGGAGTAATCCAGTATGTGGCAAAGTAGGCCGTTAAAGTTACTAGGGCAGCTGCACTGGAAAAATGGAGCATCAGGTGTGATCTGGCAAGTTCCCCCGTTATAACAGGGGTTAGAGATGCAGAGGCTGTCGGTGGGGGTTAGACACTCTGGCCCTGTGAATGTTGAAGGGCACAGACAGCGTGGACCAAGGTGACCTGATACGCATGTTCCACCATTCTTGCAATTCAGACTCCCACAGGACCGAGAATCATACTCGCAAGAAGAGCCAGTGAAGCCCTGAAGGAACACAAACAGAATTAGTTTGCTGTTATTATAAAATAAAACATCAGAATTGAAAGGGGCATTTGTATAAGAAGATGTTTTAAGAGAACTTACAGGTGGACATCTGCAGATAAAACCATGAGGCGTATTACTGGCAACAGCGCAAGTCCCTCCATTCCTGCAGGGTCTTCCCTTGCAGCCATCAAACACTTTGTCACAACGCTGACCTGTAAAACAGAAAAAAATGTGCCAGGTTCTTTTTCATACATCTACTTTATTCCTTGAGTAATGTGTTGCTAGAAACAAAGCAGTACCTGTATATCCAGTTCTGCATTCGCACCGATAGCTGTTGGTGAGCTGGATGCAGTTGTAGGACCCTCTAGGGTCACAAGGGTCTGACAAGCATTCATTGACATCGCCCTCGCAGCGTTCACCAACATAACCTGGTGGGCACACACACTGGTAGCCTCCAATGCGGTCCACACATTTGCCATTATTGAAGCACTTGGGCTCTTTGGTAAAGGGGTCGATAGGGGGGTTGCAGTCATCCAAGTTAATTTCACAGTGAACACCTACAGAAAGCAGACACATTGGATCAGAACATGTTTTTCATCAATTATGGTCACATGTAGGTTGTTATTTGATTATATTGGGCATGCATATACAGTATATACCTTGTGTCCCTCTGGGACAGGAACATTTGTATGTGTTGATGAGATCTATGCAGGTGCCTCCATTCTGGCAGGGTTGAGACTGACATTCATTAATGTCTTTGGAACAGTTTCTCCCATGATAACCAGGAACACACTGACAAAAGAGAAAGTTAAGAATAATTAATTATTTAAAATGTTCCCCCTTAAGTTATGAGGTGATTTTGATCAGTCATATTTAATTTACCTCACAGCTGTAACCTCCCAGATAATCGGTGCAGGTTGCTCCATTCTGGCATGGATTTGGTGAGCACTCATCCACCTGCTCCTGGCAGTAACTCCCCGTGTAACCAGCCTGGCAGCGACAGTAATGTGTGTTCCCAGCATCCAGACATTGGCCAGAATTCCTGCACAACTGAGACACTTCCACACCTGTAATCAAAACGGAAAATGGTTTGCAGAATGCATCAGTCACACACACACCAGACTTAGATCCAATCAAGTCAAACGTACAAGCTAAAACGCATGAAGTGAATTGTTCTACCTTGTTGTTTGGCTGCAACCTCACAAGACACACTTGGGATGTCACAGTACAGGCCAGTCCACCCAGTCTGACACTGGCAGGTGTAGGATGCTCCCTGCTGCCAGCAGGAGCCTCCATTTTTACAAGGTGAAGAGTCGCACCAGCGCACAAGATTCTAAAAAAGGAACCAAACGGATCAATCATAACTGCGAAATTAAAAAGCAAACCACCCCTTACCAGAGTCTTACTCCACTCCTACTTCCTGTTTGAAAAATGCAAAGAGTGGAGGGTGGAGCCGCTAACAAATACACACGCACACAGGCTCAGAACAACTTTGTGACATCATAGTGTACCAGCTAACGTCATTGTATACCTCTTAGCAAATAGCAATGGCAGATTTAAATTCAATGCAGTGCAGAGTTCTTACCTGAAGAGGGTGCAATACTGGCAGAATATTGACATTTTAACTAAGATGCACTAAAGTGACAAATTATTGACTACACGTGTCTACTGCATGATTAGACGCTTGTTTATATAATTTATCAGCAAAAAATTTTTTGATTTGGGGGGGCATTGCTCTTTAAGCAAGAATATGAATGTGTCAGAGTCTGTGATTAAATAAAGCTCCTACCTGACAGTTGACTCCAGTGTAGCCATGAGGACAGGTGCACTTGTATGTCCCATAACTGTCAAGACAGGTTCCGCCATTGAGACACGGCTTGGAGTCACACTCGTTGATGTCATACTGACAGTAGCTGCCGGTGAATCCGGTTAGACACAGGCAGGTGAATGTGTTGATTCCATCCATGCAGGTGCCACCATTGAAACAAGAGCTGTAAAATAAAATGAAATGAAATCTATTCTAAAGATTCTAGCACTCAGTTTTGCATACCTCATCTTATAAGTGTGTATGTTAAGTAAAACTACCTGTCAGTACAGTCGTTGGTGTTGATCTCACAGTTGATACCACTAAAGCCTGGTGGGCAGGTGCAGGTGTAGCTGTTGACACAGTCAGTGCAGTTGGCCCCATTCTTACAAGGGTTGCTCTCACATTCATTTATGTCCTGCTCACACCGGCTGCCGTGAAACCCAGGCAGACAAGTACACATGAAACTGTTGATGCCATCATGACACAGTCCCCCGTTACTGCATGGATCTAAAATAGAGAAAAGTAAGGTTGCAGTTTGTTGTAGTGTTTCACAAGACTGGAACTTGCAGTTCTGCAGATAACTGACTTACTCGGTTTGCAGTCATCTATGTCTGTCTCACACTTTTTGCCACTGTAACCCGGCTTGCACTTGCACTGGTAGCCGCCCATAGTGTTAAGGCACAGAGCACTGTTACGGCACGGATGTTTCACGCATTCATTGATATCGATTTCACAAGTTTGACCTGTAGTTTGGGAAAACAGTGATTGAAGAAACATTGTAAAATCCAGTTGTTTGAACGATCAACTGACTTACACAAACGTGAGTAGATGCATACCTTGCCAACCTTCAGGGCAGATGCAGGAGAAGCTCTGGTAGTCTTCTGCCTCTTTACATATGCCACCATTTTTACATGGTCGAGGGCTGCAGGGGGCCAGCAGGGTCTCACAGTTTTCACCTGGTAACACACCAAACATCGGATTTAGCACTGGTTGTTGCTCATTTCTACAGCAGTTGCTTGTTTAAAAAAAAAACAATAATGGTTACTCATAGTACATGTTCAGGTAAACAGTTCATTTTTGAAAGTAGCATCACTTTTCAAATTCCCTTTTCCATTCCACTTCCTTATCCATTTCCATGATGACTTAGCCAAACAGGAAGGGCCTTCCTGTTTCCTGCCATTGTGTGATTTTAGACAGGAAACAGCACACAACGGAAGTGGGGCTAAAGCTTGGACTTGAGTGTGCTTCTCATATCAACTGCTGTGGCATGTTATTGCAAACCACACATACTATGTTATCCCTGGAAAACAGACAAGCACAGCTTTCCACACTGAGATGTCAACAAGGCATCCCTGCAGTTAGCAATCATCTGGTGTTTTCTCAGACAACACATTGTGTGATAGGATAAACCCGTTGGTCGGATGTTGGAGTACTATCTTTACGTTTTCAGACCTGCACAAACAGCTGAGACGGCAACAAACAGCCTTCAAGAATATAGGAAGTCTGACACTTTCCAAGAGAGATAGCCTCTCTATGTCATACCAGTGTAAGGCAGCTGACAGTTGCATTTGTATCCAGCCACATCATCAATGCAGGTTCCCTGATTGAGGCAAGGATTGGATGCACACTCATTGATGTTAGTTTGGCAGTTAGGCCCTGCAGTGATGGGATTAGAACAAAAACACACTCGGGTTAGCGTAAAACCAACAGGCTTTCTTTGTTTTACTGAATTCAGGGGGTCGTAACTGACCGGTGAAGCCGACTCTGCACGTGCAGTGGTATCCACTTGTCATGTCCTTGCAAGTTCCTCCATTCATGCAAGGGTTGGATTCACATTCGTTGTTGTTGATGTCACAGTTCTGGCCACTCCAGCCGGATTCACAGGTGCATTTGTAGCTTCAAAGGAAATGAAAGGACAGGTTAGCAGTCGCATTCTCTTTGTTGTTGTTTTTGCCTTTTCGTGGCATAAATATTAGCTGTGTGCTTACCCATTGATGAGGTCCTGACATTGACCATGAATGCAAGGGTTGCTGGCACACTCATCTACCTGTGACAAACAGGTGGCGTCATTGTAGCCCTCTGGGCATAGGCATGTGAAGCTGTTGATGCCATCGACACATGTGCCCCCATTGTGGCAGGGGTTGATAGCACAGTCGTCAATGTTGATGTTACACATTGTGCCTGCAATACAATGGGAGGGGATTTTATTATAGTTTAGAAAACATTGGTTTTCAAAGAAGTAATGTGCATTTGGTTATTACAGAAGGCAACTAGTTTTCTCATAAGTTTTTACCTTATTTTGCTAACAGTTTCAGCCACTTCCTATCCCCTTTGTCACAGCTTTGGTGCTGTCACTTCCATTGCCGTTTATCTACGTGCAGTAGAGGACAATGTTGCCCTCTACTGCCCGCACCTTCCTAGTTGATCACCACCTCCTAGGAATGATCTAGTGTGTAAAGGGACGTCATGGGACGTGGTAAATGACAAGGATGGGGCGGGCGGCAGAGGGCAACATTGTCCTCTAATGTTCGCAGATGAACGGCAACGGAAAGGACACCAATAAAGCTCTGACGAAGGTGACCGAACACAGAAAGAACATAAGAGTTTCAAAGAAGCTTTCTAATTAACCAGTGATTACATTTAGTTGAAATGCCCACAAATGAATTATTAGTTTTGTCTACAACAGATACACCTTTGAAGATGGCTGGTACAGATTATCAACGTTAGGAAACAGAAATGGCTGTACCACAGCTCAGCCTATAAAAATGTGACTTTTGTAAAAATGTATTGAGCCACAATGTTTATAGTATAGATGAGGGTTCTTCACAACTCATACTCAGCACTCACAGATCTTGCAGAAACTTTTCAATATCATGCATAATGTTGTTTTAAAGGTTGCATATGGAACATAAACACCAAAGCAACATCTAGTGTGTGGAGGTTGTAGTTGCAACAACAGAACAAAGTCGGGATGCCAGGTTTGCTACCGATACATGACGTAACCAGCCGGCACCATGTCCAGTCTAATTATTTTACAACAGTATTTAACTTTAGAACATCTTCTGGGCTCAGAAGCAGCTGCTTGACTTGCAGAGTCCATTGTTTTCCACAATGCCAGCCTCGCTGTACATTTGGCAACCCCACAATGGTGCCCTCCGTTGGCTGGTAGATGTAAACCTAAACCCAGTGTTCTCCCAGTCAAAAATAAATATTTGATTTTTTTTATTAAAATATAGCTGTTAAAGGAAATACTATTACTTCATTTTGCACACCTCTAAATGCCAGATGGAGGTATTTTTTAAATAAATTATAGCTTTTTATTAACCTGTTCCATATTCAAACTTTAAACATTTGAACAAAAAAATTATAGTAATAATTTCTCAACATAAATGACATCTACCTGCTGAGATGCTGCAGCCTTGTACGAGGACACTGACTTCTTGCACTATTTCATTTTCTTCAACTAAACCTGTTTTTTTTTTCATTTAGGTACACTTCTTTTTAATGTATTATTTTAAAAACTTTTCTGGAATATAGTTTAGGAACATTTTTAACATTGTTTTATTTAATTTTAATAAATAGTTCTTTTTCATCTTTATGCTATCAGACTATTCTAAAATAGCTTTAAAAAGTTATAAAATCACACCAAATAATAATTAAAAATGTTCATTCATTTGAAATCCTATAATCTGATAGCTGAGGTGCTCTGTGATAGCCTGGAAAGCCAGACTAAATAAATGTTATTATTTGCAAACTTTGCAAAGCAAGAATTTGGTCTAGTTCACTAGGCTATCTCTGTGAAGCTTTGGGAGAACAGTGAGGGAATGAATCCCTCAGCAATGAGCAGAAGCTGTAGTAGGTCCAGTGTGTGCCTGGCCTGGTGGCCCCTGGTGGCCCCTGGAGGCCCGTTTTCTTCTACCCATTGATTGAAAGGGGCCTTGTTGAATAGGCAGAAGAAAGGTTTCAGCTGGATCTGAGGGAGGGAGGTGCTGCCAGGAGAGAGCTGAGGGAGGGGGGTGTTCCAGCTACTCTCCCTGTTCATACTCATACCCCCCCATCCACAAAGTGCTAACTTCACCCAGGACTGTTTGCGGGGACAGAAGGGTGAGTAACAATTTACCCCCCACCCCCACCCCACCTCACCCCCCTCCTTCTTCTGATCTCCAGGCCTTTTTCCTACTCCGCTGCTCCTCATCAATCAGGAGAGGAGGGCCCAACTGCCTTATATTCAGTCACAATAGTCCTCTGTCCCTCTGCCTCTCCATCCTGCTGTTCCCTCCTCTCTCACCCCAAGAGTACAAAAAGCTGGTGGAGACAAGGAGGAGGAGGCACAGCAGCACACACACACACTTGTTACCTCCTCCCTGCCTCTTTTGTGGAGTAATCACAAAACAACTACCAGCCAAAACCGGCTTAGTTGAGTCATTAGAAGAAATGAAGACGAGAGTAGTCTACTCGCTGAAACATAACTGCCACTAAAGTTTACACTCTATTACAGTAAAACCAGATGAGCACCATGACAGCAATGACATAATCACATTTAAACCTAATATAACAGATGGCCATGCTGTGTGGTTTCACACTAATAAACATCTAAAATGTGATTATAGGTCCGTGTGTGTGCATTTTTTTTAAGGATCAGCTTACGGAGTCCTTCCGGGCTTAACATCACAGCCTTTTCAGAGAGCAAACAAAGTTAGTGCTTTGTGTGTGTGTGTGTGTGTGTGTGTGTGTGTGTGTGTGTGTGTGTGTGTGTGTGTGTGTGTGTGTGTGTGTGTGTGTGTGTGTGTGTGTGTGTGTGTGTGTGTGTGTGTGTGTGTGTGTGTGTGTGTGTGTATCAGGTTTGGGGCCTGTCTTCCCTTTTCCACTACCCCGTCTATCCCATGTATGCAATATGACACCTTTGTTCCACAAAAGCAGACCCGCCAGCCACCTGTCAAACCTGCCCCTCCCAAAGCTCAGGGGACCGTCCCTCCTGCACCTGTACACTCCATCCACCGCTCACCTGTGTAACCTGGCTCGCATGCACACTCGTAGCCATTGATTTTGTCGATGCACCTCCCAAAGTCACAAGGCTTGCTCTTACAGTCGTCCAGGTTCACCTCACAGTTGATGCCTGTTGACAGCAACATTAAAGGTGAGAAAGATGCAGACGTTTTCTCTGGAAGGATATTAGACATTTTAAAGACAAGTGAAGCATCACCTGCTGTGCCTTTAGGACAGGAACAGATGTAGGAGTTCTCCCTGTCCTGACAAGTGCCGCCGTTCTTACAAGGCTGGCTAAGACACTCGTTGATGTTGGTCTCACACAAGCGGCCAGTGTAGCCAGGATGGCAGTAGCAGGTGAAGGAAGCCAAGCCGTCCTTACACGTGCCGTAGTGGCAGGGGTCAGAGTAGCACTCGTTGATGTCGATCTCACAGTGCTGACCTGTATAACCTGGAAGGCAGACAGAAATCTTCAGTAACTGCTACATTTGTCTCAGAAGAATGAAAAAAAAAATGGTGATTTACAAATGAAGAAATGTCTGTACCTTCAGCACATTCACACATGTACTTATTGGGTCCATCGGTACATTTAGCTCCATTCTTGCAGGGAGTGCTGGCGCACTCGTCAATATCCACCTGGCACAGGCTTCCTGAAAATCCTGCAGAAGCATTTTTATAAAGGCGAGAATAAAACCTGTTTTTAGTGAGGACTGAAAAATAAATTCAAAGAATGCACCGGCTTTAGAGAATCTTTGGACCCACATCTACAGTTTGCATAATGTGAAAACGGAAAAAAAGACAAACTGATTTGCATCTGAAGTGGGTCTGCAGGACACCGAAGGTCCTCACAAACCTTCCACCACACCACCCCCCTTCTCTGCTTTTACTGTGCAGTGAAATCTTTCTTTTAAATCACAACACAATGCACCACCCCCACCCCCCGCCCTGCCATAAGCCAATCCCTGCTCCCAGTTTTGGCGCTAATCTCTAACACAAACTTCTAGGCCCGCCAAATATGCTAATGTCAGTGTATCATGCTCCACTTGGTCCAGTTCATTAACCCGCTCAGGCTCAAAATAAGTTTTGATAAAAGGACTAACAACTAAGTCCTTCAGGAGTACATCTTTGTTAAAAAATGCTCATGAAATATGTATGTGGAGTAACCAGGTAGGTAGGTTTCAACTGCTGCAAATCTGCAACGCCTGCCTCCAGAGGGTTAAATAAAAAGGTTTGAGGACACCACTGGAAGGAGTAAATCATTAACATTTAGTCTGTGAGTGTGAACCATGTGTGCTATACAGATTGGTTAATGATCCACTTTTATAACACCTTTCCTGCTCTAATTTCTATCAAAACATTGCTTGGTTTATTCTCTGTAATGATCAATTTAGTGTAATTAATTTTACCTTTGGAACACTCGCAGTGGAAGGAGTTGATCTTGTCTATGCATTTTCCATTGTTGAGACAAGGCTGGCTGGCACACTCATCTGCATTTATGTGGCAAAACACACCCTCGTATCCTGAAAGGGTTAAAGAAAAAACTTACAAATTTTAATTCTTAAATCTCTTAAAGGCAATTTCTCTCTTTGCCAGGTCAATTAACCTTTTGCATTAAAAAATCAGCTTATCACACACTAAATGAAACACCTCTATTTATGACCTTTTCAGTTATGTCTTCAAATGTTCAACAGAAAAATTACAAAACTGTTTGAGGTTGGATATTTTCTTGCAAGATAAACCAGCTTTCCCACCTGGCATGCAGATGCACTGGAACCCTCCAATCTGGTCGAGACAGGTGGCATCATTATGACAGGGATTGGACATGCATTCGTTAATGTCCATCTCACAGCGAGGTCCGTCGTATCCCTGAAGACACTTGCACTGGAAAGAGCCTTTGGTGTTGAGGCAGCGGCCCCCGTGCTCACAAGGGTTGGCACCTAAAACAGTTAAGTTACACCTGTCCTTATGTCTGTGCAACACTAGAAGCATTGACATTTGTAAAGCACCTACCCCCTCCACAGATTTGTGGGGGTGATTCAGGGGGTGCTCTAATACCTGCATTACGGCTGTTAGCTATTTTCTGTGCATTTAGCTTTTCCAGGCTGCTGATAGACAATAAAAAGCACAAGAAGAAGAAAAAGGAGAAGTTTGCTTTTCTGTTGGCATCATGGCAGAGCCTGAAGTAAAAGTAAGAGAATAATGCTAACAGCCGTAATGAATGTATATAAGCAGTCCCTAGAACACCCCCTCCTCAAAACTGTTAGCCTGTATTTTATAGCGCCTTCTTAGGGTTCTACAACCCCCCAAGACGCTTCGCAACACAATCAGTCATTCACACATTTACACACTGGTGGGGATGAGCTACGACATAGCCACGGCTGCCCTAGGGTGCACTGACTGAGGCGAGGTCTGGCGAACACTGGCGCCACTGGTCCCTCCGACCACCACCGGTGTCAAATATGAAACTGGTCAAGTTTCTAACCCAAAAATCACTGAGATCAATGTTAAAAGCTCCAGTTTAAAGTTTAGAGAACTATTTAGTGTTACTTTGGGAAATGACATCAAACAAATGACAGACTATATGACTCACCAAGAGAGCACTCGTCAATATCCAAGTTGCAGGCGGATCCTGCGTAACCAGGTGGACAGGTGCAGATCGCCTTTCCATTTACTGGGTTGGTGTCACAGTTTGAGCCCTTTTGACATGGGTTGCTGATGCAGGCATCATCTAGGTGACACAGCAAACCTGAGGGTGCAAATGTACAACATTTACTCTTCTGTTCTTTACACCTGTCTTTAGAGTGTGTAATGGAAGAGTAAAAGACAGAAGTTACCTGTGCGTCCATGTGGGCACTCGCAGAAGAATGAGGCTACACGGTCATGGCAGGTGGCTCCCTGATAACAAGCTGCGCTGGCGCAGTCGTCAATGTTCTCGCTGCAGTCATCGCCCGTCCAGCCGTTGACACAGACGCAGTGGTAACTCCCATGTGTGTCGTGGCACGTTCCTCCATTCTGACAGGCGTTAGGCATCAGCTCACACTCATCCACGTTCTCTGTGCAGTACTGACCTGGAAGTCGTAAAGTAGAGTATGAGCACGTGTTGCAACAATACTTGTTTTTATTTTGTGTGTTTTTACTGAGAATGAAGTGAGGAGTAACCTGTGTAATGAGGTGGGCACTGACAGTTGTAGGTGTTCACCCCATCCACACACACACCACTATTCTGGCAGTTGTGACCTGGACAGTCATCAATGTTGTGCTCACAGTGCTGGCCGGTGAAGCCTGACAGACGGAGAAAACACACGACCAAAGGAATTACAAAGGTGTGGAGCAAGAATGATAAAGACTCGGGTTCAGTTAATGGTCAGACATTTCCTTCCGTTCTCTATCACTGTGCTCATAAACAGATAAGGTTTGGAGATTCACGTGGCAAACCATTTTAATGGCTTGTTGATGACGCCGCATCTCTTTAGACATCAAAGGCTTGGGCGGGTGTTTTACAGGCACAAAAGTTTGATTAATAATCAACCCACAGCTCTGCAGATGCTCGCGTGGCTTCGCTATCTAAACGCATTCCAGTGCAGGCCCCCACGAGAGACACGCAGCATGGATTAAACTTTAACACATTCATCAGTATTCTCCATTCACCTATGTGTCTGCAAGATCACAAGCAGACAATTCAGCAGCAAATGCACACAGATGAACATTTGAATAGTGATAACTTTTTTTTGCTTTTAGCAACAAAGAAATAAAAAAAGGTTTATTGTGGTTTGAAGGGGGGAAATGCTTACACAGCTGGAACACAACATCAGAAACTGCACAACTCCCAAGAATCCTGCATACCAGCGCAGTAACAAAGAGAGCTGGCTACGTCTAAGTGAAAAACAAGATTTTTTTTTGTGACCTAATGAATGGGGTGTGCCAATCTATACGATGTGTGTTCACGTGTGTTTGTGCAGCTTCGTGGGCTCACTGGTGATTATCAGAAGGAAACGTCTGTGCGACTGTATCCTGCTGCCAGGGAAGGCTGGTAGAGACCAGGAAGTTGGGTAACCAGACACTGCTCACTCCTCCCTATCAGATCTGACCACAACACTCTGTTTCCCAGATCTATACCCGTGATTTTGTACTTCACTAATCAAATACAACACCTGAGTTTTAAAGCAATGTTTGCATTTTACCTGGAAGGCAACTACAGTCATAGATGGTTTCTCCCCTTTGGACGCAAGTACCACCGTTCTGGCATGGTGAAGGGCTGCATGGCAGGTAAGGTGTCTCACAGTGCTGACCAGTGAACTCTTGAGGACAGCGACAGTGGTACGACCCAACCTCGTTCACACACGAGCCACCGTTAAGGCATGGAGAGTGAATCTGAGCACACTCATTCACATCTTGCTTGCAGGTTTGACCTTGGAAGTTAAGAGGACAGGTGCACTTGTAAGTCGACTCTAAGGCTGAGCACTGGCCACCGTTGGCACAAGGGTTGGAAGCACACGGGTTGGGAGTCTCACAGGTTTTGCCTGGAAAATAGCACGTATAAAGAAATGTAGATGATTATTGGTTAAAACAGGGAGAAGAAAGGTGTTGATGTTGTTTGCCACTTACCTGACCACCCTGGTGGGCAGCGGCAGCGGAAAATATTCAAGCTCATTAGCTCGCATGTTCCTCCGTTGCGACAAGGGGCGTTCATGCAGGCGTGGTTATTGGGTGTCAGGCATAATCTGTCTGTGTAGCCCAAGCGGCATATGCAGCGGAAATCAAAGGTGTTGCCATGGGAAACCGCGTGGCATTCGCCACCGTTACGGCAGGGTGAAGGGCTGCAGGGGCTGGGATACTGGCACCGATCGCCTACATAGTCACTGGTGCACCTGTAGAAACAGTGGAAAAAAGAGTGTTAGGAGTGAAAATTCTTGTCAAAATCTGTGGAACTAATATTTAAACGAAAGAAGAAAACTAACAGGGGGGAAAGAGGGGGGATGTTTCCCGCCCTGCTGAGACCCGTAGGACAGCGTGTTGTTCTAGAGAGTCTCTGTGGATTAAACCCTCTCAGAACCTTGAAAACACACTCTGCTAGGACAACAGACACCATTAAATAGTCTAGCCATAACAGCCTGTTCCCGTCTACCTTTTACCCCCTCTCTGTCCACATCCATCCCAAATGGCCGCAGAGATCAAGGGGACTGTGCCGCCTGAGTATGTCCCCTACAAAGCTTTGCATTCAGGCCCTAAGCTCTCCAGCGCTCCTAGACAAGGACAATTACCACAACAGTCACATGACTTAAAACTAAATGATTATTAAAACAACAACACTCAGGTCACAACAGTAATATGCACCGGGAATACCTCTATGCTTAAAATGAAATCACAAGGATTTCAGTGGCTCGCTCCGATGTTGTTTGATATGCCGCTAAACCCCCCATCTGTCACGTAAAGGGGCATTTAAAGTCAGCAAAGAAAAAAGTGTTTATGTTTGAATTGGGGCTTGTGTGCAGTCGCACACACGATCGTTCCTGTTTACGTGTAAGGAAGGGCATCTGTTGGCCTCTGAGTATCTCCACAGGGAGCAGGTGCGCATGTTAATGACGGCAGCTGTTGACCAGGACTCCTCCTCCCCTCATTCTCCTTTCTCCTCCCCTTTCTCCCCCTTTTTGCCCCCCTCCCCTCGCTCTCCTCTCTGTCCTCTCCTAAGATGGGGGGTACTGAGAAGCTAACCTCTCCTCCAGGGACGTAAAGAACCCATGTGAAGTCAGCTGTTGCAACTTCTGCCTCCTCAACTCACTCAATGACCAAATTTACTCTTACTTCCTCTCTTTACTCATTTTGATTTTAGTCCACAAGTTTTCTCGTTCACAAGCTGAACGTTTTGTATGTCAGTTTTCTTCTGTGAGGAATTTAATAGCTCAGAGCAGTTTTCTTTTTACAGCGTACCCCTCATGTCACACAGGACTGCTAAAAACCCAGTTGTTGACTTTGTACGATGGGGGGGGGGGGCGGGGGGGGGGGGGGGGGGGGGGTTAACAGACCCATGTGCTCCAACAGGGAGCCCAGGCAGTTGCAATTGGCAGACGGCTGTAAAGGTATCTGGGTGTGCTTTGAAGTTTTTCTGCTTCCTATTTCACTTCACACTGAAATCACACAAAGGGAAATAAATGCTTCTGTAAAGTGTGTGTGTGTGTGCGTGCGTGCGTGCGTGTGTGTGTGCGTGTGTGTGTGTGTGTGTGTGTGTGTGTGTGTGTGCGTGCGTGCGTGCGTGTGTGTGTGCGTGTGTGTGTGTGTGTGTGTGTGTGTGTGTGTGTGTGTGTGTGTGTGTGTGTGTGTGTGTGTGTGTGTGTGTGTGTGTGTGGCCCTACAGTAAATAGGTGTAACAGATCTTTGTCCTAAAGTCAGCCCATTCTGAGATCCACCCACACGCCGTCAGGACCAGCAGCACACACACACACACACACACACACACACACACACACACACACACACACACACACACACACACACACACGCACACACACACACACGCGCACACACACACACACACACACACAGCAACAGGTCTCTCTCGGCGATGCAATGTCCCCTCAGGCCAGAGCAGATGCTTCCCTGACCTCTGACCTCAAACCCTTTTGTGCGTGTGGTACAGCCTCTTTGCCTTCTCTCCCCTCTCTTCTCCGTCCCCGCTGGGCCCGATCTACCATCTGTCACACTGGGGGTGACTTTATCCTCCAACACAAAACCAGACCAACTGCGAGGAGAAAATGCCACCGCTGTGGAAACTATTGCGTGAAAAGTTCTAGAATGACGTATAGACCACGTGTGTAATAGTTTTATCCTCATTGTGTTTCCTTTCATGCTGCTTATAAAGTATGACCACCTTTTCCTCCCTTCCTCTCTCTCTCTCTAAGTTTCTCACTCCCCCTCATTTTCTCTCTTTTATGTTTGTTTGTGACCTCTCCTCCTGAATCAGTGTGTCTGGTTAGCTGATGTCCCTTTAAACGTGTCTGATCATTAACCTAGATCTGACCCCTGAGGTCCACATCTGTTAGCAAGCAGAGGAAATTAGAAATAGATTAGATCTAGAAGGGCTAAACTGCTTTACAATATCACACAATTAGAAAGGACGCAAAACCAGAGCAAGCAGGTGCATTTATTTTCTCATGCGAGGTGCATTTTTTTATATTATTCTCCAGACTTGTGAAACTGGAAAATAACTACATTTAGTGATCTTCACAAAACTCAGAAAATACCCCACAAAGATAAAAGTGTGCCTCAGTATTGTCTCACTTTCTAAACAAACCATCAACGAGTGTTGTTCTCATAAATATCTCCAAAATACCAGTTAAAAGATCTGTTCATAACATAAAAATGTTACACACCCTTTTCCTGAGGGCAGCATTGTTGTGGTTGCAGCTTTTCTCTGCTAGTGGGAAAATGTTTCATCTTGAAGTCAAACCAGTGAAACACCTGCCTGCTAACACATCCCTCTCTATTGTTTTCCAGAAAACCTGGAGTGAATTACTTGAATTGTGACCAAGAAGATGAGAAAATTGTGTCCAATCTCAGCAACCTCTGCCTATGACCAGTATTCCCAGTTTTTTTGGGGTTTATTAGCACAAACTCAGTCATAAAAGAGACATGAGGGAGCCGTGTCTCATGGCCCTATGTAATGTTGTTTTTCTAAAACGACTGAAAAACACTTCGAAGGTCCAAATAAAATATGTTGTACACAAGTAAAAAGTTAAAACAATTTAGATGATTTTGCTAGTTTCTTATCCCATTGGTAGATTTTTTGCTCAAAACAAGAAAAATTTGCATCATATTTAAGAATATTTACTTCATTTCAAGTAATGTTATTTTACTAGAGAATGATTTTTTTCACTTTTTAGACTGGAAATTAGACTTTTTTTAAACTTCCAAGACAATTATTTTAAAAACTGCTAAATAAAATATTTGCTTGTGACCTTTGCACAGTGCTGCACATTTGAAAGAGGTGTCATCTCTACTTTTGACAGTCTGTGTTTGTGAATGTGAACTTTCAGCACCCACTAGAGTGAAATAGCCTCTTATCTGCCTGCTCTGACAGGACAGCTTTGATTGTCCTACTTTGAGGATCTCCAGATCAGTCTACTCAAAGCCACCCTATCAAAGAATGTGGAAACTATATATCTGCAATAAACACTTTAATAACTGTAGCATTATGAGAGTTTTAAACAAATTGCACCCATGCTTGGTAAAGTAGATTTTTCCACCACAAACCTGATTTCAGGCAGTATTTCGTTTTTTGGGGGAGTGGGTTCTGGCATCTGGAGAATGGGCCTGACCAGGGGAGTGGCAGGCTGAGAGCTTCAAACTCAATAACAGCCCAATATCAACAGGCACACTTAACCCTGTCAGGCACTTGCATGCTCCAGATTTGCCTAAGCCCACATGAAGCTGAGCCTTCACAGAAACCTGCCTGGTAATCCTATAGGAGGACAAATGAAGAGCGGCATTCCTTGAGGGAGAGTGTCTCATCTCTCCGGTGGTGCTGGAATCGCTCTGGACAGGCTGTTTGAGTGAGACATTTTATCATGAATATGCAGTGCGGGACAGCTGTGTGTCAGGTCAGAGGGCCACGATCACTCTAAGCACCACAGACTGGAAGTTATTTCTCACTTTCTAATCTATTTCTGTCGGGCGTCTTGTAGTATTTGAGACAAGACTGTTGAACAGTTACCTCTGACCAACAAACAGCTTCTTCAAAGCTGCATCAGTCCTGCAAAGGCACGGTTCAGGTCACCAACCTTTCAACCCTGCTGTGTTCTCGTTACAGTCCCACAAATGGAAACTGACTTTGGCTCACACAATGCTGTGCCCCTTCCATGCAAGCTTTCACGTTGCCCACATGAGCAGAGAGCAGAGGCACCATGGGAAATAGGAAGCCCCAGACCTTCAAATAACCTCTTACTGTGGAGAGTCCTGACTGAGCGCTTCCCCAGTACAAACGCTTGTTGTAGCTGTTTCTGTGCATCTTGACAACCACAACAAGCAGTTTTTGTGTACAGAGGATGTTTGGATTTCCCCCTTAAAACTGTTATTTTTTTCTTTTTATTTATTTATTTAGTGCTTAATTTGAAGACATCTTCACTTAAGAAAAAAAAAACAAATTTTCTTCATCTCAAACTGGAGAAATAAAGCTGTTTGATCTGTCTCTTTTGCAGGACTGTCTCAGCCATGCACTCTTTGTATAAAACAATTCATAAAAGGTAGCCCAAATGATATTTTTTGAGTTTTTCCATCTCTGCTTTCTAAGAAAAGTTGACCTTACTCTGTCAAACCCTTACTTCCAGAAATTTTAAAAGTAACTCTCAAGTAGTTTCCTGCTTCACCCCCAGCTGGCTGAAAGCGCAATTACCACTGTCGTAAACAACCCTGCTGCAGCCTTTGCAGATGACGTTGTCGTCAGACATGGTGTTTGCATGTTTCTATGAATGTCTGATTATTGACAGTTCAGAAACCAAGAAAATATCTGAGGACTTTGCTTGCTACTTTTTAGATCCAACCTTTGTGAAGTTGAGAGCTACCTCGTGTATTGAGCTACATGAAGGGCTACCAGTTGATACAATAGTGACCTTTGAACTAGAAAAGATCAGAGTTAAACTAAACTTAATGCATAAAAGGCATTTTTTAAAGAAGAGTGTAGTTGTAAAATCTATATGAAAGCATTTGTCAATAAAAAACATGGCAGCAGATTTCCTTTAGACTTGTACTATTTGGAGAAAAGGCCCGGGGGCACCCCATGTGGTTCCCACGGGCACCATGTTGGTGACCCCTGTTTTAGATAGTTTGAAACTGAAACCAACGAGTCTAGACCATGCTGGTGTTCACTCTGGTTTTACCTCTTTGTTTGTCAAACTTCATGCTTTCCCTCTAAAGCCATTGTTGTCTTCCTTTTATTTCCAGGCTTAGTCATGGAGCTGACAAAAAAAGCTGACTTCTTGTCCTTGCACTTTTTGTTGACAGTCAGCAAACCAAAAGAGCTAACTGCTAGCCTTTATAAGAGCTACTGGCACAGTAGACGTAAAGCAGGTAGAGACCGCCCGCTTGGTTCCAACCCGAACCAGTTTCTGGCCAGAAGAGGGCAGCAGAGTGCTGTCCCACATGAATCTGCTCAAGTTCCTGCTTCAAAAACCACTGAAACCAGTTTGAAAGCAGTAGCTTGAAGTGTTAGAGTTGCTCTAATTTTACAAAAACACTTTAATTCAATCTGTAGGGATAAAAGCAAACTTCTCTCATCCAAAAGTCCATCTGTGTGCTCTCTGACTACACTAAACTAGATCATTTTAGATTAAGCCACACATTTTATCCATATGCAAAAATCGTAGGAGACATGACATTCTGCTTTTGGGTTCATAAACTTACCCAAATATTGTGAAGATGTCAGATCAGTGTCATGTAACTGAAAAAGGCATGTACACAAATGCTAAACCCAGTAAAATCTGAGAAATAAATAAAAAGTTCCAATTCCTTTTGAGTTTATTCTTAAATCCAGGATCTGAGGATCTTTTCAAAGGTCACCACGTTTATCTCATTACAAAACAAATCTATTCACGTTATCTGATTTCCACATGATTTACTCCAATCTTAAACATATTGTCTTTGCCAACAAGTGACATCACTCTGGCACCCATGAGAACTGTGCTGGAGGAGGATTTAAATCTATCTCACCACTCAAATCTGTGTCACCATATGCAGCAAAAACAAAAAAAAAAAACACAAAGTGCAACATAATTCACTTCAGCATATGTGTGTGGTAGAAGTGTGTGTGTGTGTGTGTGTGTGTGTGTGTGTTAAATCCTTTTTTTTATCTTTTATTCGTTAAATTTAGCCACTTATTTCAAACTACGGGCCAATTCTCCAACAATATTATGAGCACAAGTGCATTTTACAAGTGATGATATAGAGAAAACCGTCCTGTTCATGACATGAAAAGGACAAATCTGGAACTTAACTGGAAACCCCTCCCCTCATGCCGACGCTGCACTCTGACCTCCCTGAATCGCCCGGCGCACCCCGGGAATGATAGCTGCTTGGCTTGGCAGGGATGAATGATTAATGAAAGGAAAAGCGAGGAGGAAGAGTGAGAGTGTGGGTGGGTGAAGGGATGCCCCTCATCCTGTCTGTTTTTAATTAGACTGAGCAGAGTTTGAGGCTACAAAAAGAGATTTGTAGAGATAGAAGAAGAGATTCTGTGTGCCAGTGTGTCCACACGTGCAGACGTCTGTGCGTGTGTGTGTAGGGAGCGTGCAGATTAGAGATTGTGAATTGGTGTCCCACAGGCCCCTCTTGTCCCAACAGACCAGAGAAGAGCCTGTTGTGACCACATGCCCCGAGGGGTAAACCAGGCCACCTCTGAGCTGCTTTGCAAAATCACACCACAACTGGAAATCACTTTCTTTTCCTTCTTTTTACTGTTTCATGTTGCACCTGTTTCAGTGTCAAGGCTGAAGAGCAAATCACTCAACTCTGATTGACACACGAGCCAGCAATGAGGAATATTGGCCTATTGGGTGTCTCATCCATGAATCATTAGCACCAATAAACAAACAGCTTACAATCTGTCTTCAAGTCTCTGTTCCCACTTGTTTACCTTCAAATTTCTGTTCTTTATTCCAATTAATCTCACACTCTCGACATCCAATCCAATTACATTTCACAGCCATCTGGCTTTCAAATGGAGATCACAAGCAATAAGGGAGGAGAGCTTTCATTCAAAATGACGGAGACGGGCTTTTTGGGCGGGGGGGGGGGGGGGGTGTCAGCGGTTCGGTGTGTGCTGAGGTGTCTGGGGTGGCTGTGGCATGATGGGAAGCCCCACTCAGATTAGTCACACAGCATTATTCTGACTGCAGGACAATGAGTGACGGGCGGCGGGCGAGCCCCAGCTGTCGCCCATGAAAGAGCAGAACAACAAGATTTAGGGCTGGACGCGTCCTCTCACTTCTCTGCCGAGGGGGTCTTGCATTCATTAATGGGCTGCTGTTTAGGGTGAAGCTGGGGGGGGGGGGGGGGCTGCTTTTGTCTCCTGCATTCTGAACATTCTGGATCAGCACCTGCTTTGCTTAATTTCTTCAATTCTAAACGTTATTTTCACAAATAAAATGAGTGTGTGAAGCAATGCAGCTCCTGGCGGGGTACAGGAGCACACCGGACCAGAAGGAACTTCTAGGAAGGGCCTCTGGTTGCTGGGCACAGCAGCTACTAAAAGACTGGAATGGAGGGAAGGAGGGAGGGGGAGTATGGACCTCCTTTTTTCTTACCCAAAAAAGTACTTTTGAGAGTAAAGAAAATACCCACACTGCTCTATAAATACCACACAAAACTTAACATATATGCAGAGTAACATCTCATTTTAGTTTAGTTGCATTGTCTGACTTACTTGCACTCTCCATTCCCATTCAGCGTGGCTTCACATCTCCCTCCATTTAGGCAGGACTCAGTAGGTAGGGAGCATTTTAGACCTGCAGAGGAAAAAAAATATCATGTCTGTGACCCAACATATACACATACTTATATATATATATATATATATATATATATATATATATATATATATATATATATATATATACCGTATATATATATATATATACGGTATATATATATATATATATATATATATATATATATATATATATATACACGGTATATATACGGTATATATACGGTATATATATATATATATATATATATATATATATATATATATATATATATATATATATATATATATATATATATATAACGTGTCCCTTTTAAATTGTGATGCACAAATGTTGATCTGATTTGCTACACGGGTGTCCGTGGGGGGTACACATGTTGCGGACACCGGTGAGGCCAGGACGCGTGGTGCGTGGCTTCGGGTGCGCATGCGGAGAGAGCTGAGCGCGCGGCAGCTGCGGGGCTCAGATGGGGAACAAAAGAAATCAAGAGTCCAGCACGAGCCATAAAACACTCTCCCCTGGCATTGTTTACCAGCAGACGGAATAGCAAAGCCTCCCCCTCCTCCATCACCACCCGGCCGGTGCTCACAACACTCTCCCACACTTTGCAGACAAAAGGTGCCCTCCCTCCCCCTTTTCACCCCCCTCCTCCAGCTTGCCCCCTTCCGTCCACACACGCACAAACTTTTATTTTCTACTTTTTTGAATTAGGATTTTTTTTAAACTGAAGTCGTTTAATTTGACTTTCATTCATCAAATTGAAGCAAAAACTGCACCCAAAGGCTAAATGCGAGCTTAGATCTGTGTGGAAAGGGTTTTCATGCATTTTACAGTTTTTTTGGGGCCAAATTGAAAAAAAAAAGCACAAAGTTATGAAGCATCAGAAAACACAAGGGAAGTCAGCAACCGGTGCAGCGCGGCTCGTGGCTCTTTCACTTGTTGTGAAGTCGTTCCCACTACCAAGAAAAGCTCATAAGAAATGTTAAGAGTTAATATATCCTTTTATTACAGCGTCGGATCCTCTATTCTTTACGTTAAGGTTATTAAATCGCTTATTTGTCTTATTTTGTAACTTTTCGCCCCCAAATAAAGTCACGAAACGTTCCTGCTGAGTCTTCCTGCACGATTCTTTTTATTCCCCCAAAATAAAATAAAATAAAATCTGATGTTTACCTTGTGAGAAGACGATTGCTGGAATCAGAAATGCTAGTTTCACTAGGAAACGAGACATTCCTTCTCCTCTTCAGCTTCACAGATGTGCTTGACTCCCGCTTAGGGTTCGCATAGATCCGCAGTTGAATCCTCCAGATGTTGGCTGGAAATAAAAAATCCTTTAGTTCAGATAAGATCCAATCGAGGCGGAGTGGAAGACTTCAGCAGGAGCGCGTTCGTGGATGTTCACCTGCTGCTTTCTGAGCTTCAATGAAATCTACATGCAGCTCTAAAAGTTCCTCCCACTCCTCCTCCTCCTCCTCCTTTCTCCTCCTCCTAAATCAGAGCTTCCTCCACTCCTCAGCCTTCAGGTCAAAATTAACTCTCATATCCCTCGATGTCCACAAACTTGTTATTACTGTCGTGCAAAGTAATAATGACGTGCTTTGAAACGTTAAGAGCTTATTTTACTGGTTAATAAATAATCTCTGACAGAACAGATGAAAAAGGGGTGTAATTTCCTTCAGACAGGTTATATTTTGTGATAAGTAAATCTGTCACAGACGAGGAAAGGAAAAACTCCAAATACTTGCTTCAAAAAACAGATTTATGCTCCACATTTTAATTAAGATTTATATTTTAATGCAGAACACAGCTGTTTTATGAGGTTTGTTCTGGTATAGTTTATTTATCCTAACTCTAACAACAACAACACGCTATTTAAAAGATTAAATCCAGACTTTGCACATGAAGTTGTTTGGTTCCTCTGCAGTGATTCTTTGTAATTTAGATCCAAAATATCAATTAATTGTTGCTGATTTATTGAATAGTTTTAGCTCCTTTCTTTTTTGATTTTATGTAAATTTGTTGTTTCTTCAAAGTTTTTCTCAAATCCATCAGAAGAACATTAACATATTTCAGCAAGTGCAATTTTACCATCTTTCACACATAAGAATATTTAATGTTTTTTAAATAAAGCAGTTATTTGATGAAAAACTAGAGAAAAAGCGGGAGATTGATCAGCAGATTGGTGCGGTGTCTGCAGTGACGCGGGCATTGTAAGTTGTGGTGAATAGAGAGCTGAGTAGAAGGTGAAACTACGTTGCTATGGTCATAAGCTTTGGCTACTGACCGAAAGAATGAGATTGTGAATGCAAGCGGCTAAAATTAGTTTTCTCCATATGGTGGCTGGGCTCTCCCTTAGAGGTAGGGTGAGTAGCTCGGTCATCCAGGAGGGGCTCAGAGTAGATCCGCTGCTCCTCCACATCAAGAGGAGTCAGTTGAGGTGGGCATCTGGTTAGGATGTTTCCTGGATGCCTCCCTGGTGAGGTTTACTAGGCACATCAACTGGGAGGAGACCCAAAGGAAGACCCAGGACACGCTGGAGGGACTGGCCAGGGAAGGCTTTAGGATTCCCCCGGAGGAGCTGGCCCAAGTGGCTGAGGACGGGAAGTCTGGGCCTCTCTGCTGCTGCCCCCATGACCCGACCCTGGATAAGCAAAGGAAAACAGATGGATGGATGGCTTGTCTTTGATTCACAATGGTAAAGAAGTTAAGTGCCCGCCCTGCAACCTGTAACTGGAGGGTTGCAGGTTCAAGACCCGTTCAGTCTGTTGCAGTCATTCTGTCCTTCCTTGGGCAAGAAACTTCCCCCATGTTACCTACACCAGCCACCAGGCTGGTCAAATAGCATGACCTCTACTTGTTTAGCGCCTTTCAGAGTCAGAGGACTCCAAAGCACTTTGCACTATCATTCATCCATTCACAAACTGATGGTGATGAGCTACATTTTAACCACAGCTGCCGTGGGGCGCACTGACAGAGGCGAGTCTGCCATACACAGGTGCCACTGGTCCCTCTACCACCGGCAGGCAAGGTGTGTTAAGTGTCTTGCCCAAGGACACAACAGCAGCTTTCTCTGCCAGGAGCCGAGATTGATCCTACAACCTTCTGATTACTGGGCAGTGGTGGCACAGTTAAGTGCTCGCCCTGTAATCAGAAGGTCGCAGGTTCGAGTCATGCTCAGTCTGTCGCTATTGTGTCCTTGGGCAAGACACTTAACCCATCTTGCCTGCTGGTGGTGTTCGGAGGGATGAGTGGTGCCTGTGTACAGCAAATTCGCCTCTGTCAGTGTGCTCTACGGCAGCTGTGGCTACAATGTAGATCATTACCATCAGTGTGTGAATGTGTGTGTGTGAATGACACTCACGCCTTCCAGGACTCTGGAAGGCACCATATCAAATACACTCCTGAGTTATTGCTGCTCGCTGTATGTTTTAAAGTGGGATACCAAAAGACTCACACACATTGGGGACTCTGAATTGTCCCTAGTTGTGACTGGTTGTTTGTCCCTGTGATGGACTTGTGACCTGCCCAGGAGCTGTCCCCCCACCCCTCACCCAAAGACTGCTGGGGTTAGGTACCAGCTTCCCGTGAACCTACTGAGGAATAAGAGAGAGTTTGATATGTGGGCTATAGATTAATATACATTTTGTATTCATGCAAAACCCTGGTTACTATTTAAGGAGATACTTTGCAACATTTTCATATTTGTAAATCATTTTCTTGAGCTACTACGTGCTAAAATGACCCTTTACAGGGTTAATGAAAGGCCACCCAGCCCCAGGTTGATTGGCGAATTGGTGCGGCGTCTGCATGCAGGCGCTATACCAATCTGTCGTGATTTAGAGAGCTGAGCCGGAAAGCAAAGCTCTCAATTTGCCGGTCGATCTACGTTCTTCACCTCACCTATGGTCATGAGCTTTGAGTAGCGACTGAAAGAATGAGATCCTGGATACAAGTGGCCAAAAAGAGTTTTCTCTCCGCAGGGAGGCTGGGCTCTCCCTTGAAGATGGGGTGAGAAGCTCGGTCATCCGGGAGGGGCTCGGAGTAGACCCGCTGCTCCTCCACATCGAGAGGAGCCAGTTGAGGTGGGCTCGGGCATCTGGTCAGGATGCCTCCTGGACGCCTCCCTGGTGAGGTTTTCCGAGCACGTCCAATTGGGAGGAGACCCAAGGGAAGACCCAGGACACGGTGGAGGGACTATGTCTATCGACTGGCCAGGGAACACCTTGGGATTCCCCCGGAAGAGCTGGCCCAAGTAGCTGGGGAGACGGAAGTCTGTGTGTCTTGGCTTAGGTTGCTTCCCCCACAACCCAACTCTGGATAAACAGTTGAAAATGGATGGATGGATGGATGGCACCCAGCTCCTATCATCCCCTATGGGCAGAATATTCCACTTGCAACTTCAGACTGGTGGCCGCTCTGTTGGGACTTAGAAAAAATTTAGTTGGCACACCTGGCGCTGCAGTTTGCTTCCAGCACATTTTCTGAATGATTTAGATCATGAATACAGCTTATTTGTTTAATGTAATGATGAATCACTTCTGTAGACACTAAAGATGACTGGGAGACATTTCAGCTGTTAGAATAAGGTGTTAAAATGACAAACGCACAGCATGGAGACACGTTTTACTTTTGGTTCTACAAACAGACACTAGAGGGTGCTAAAAGCACACCAAAACTGTCTTGTTCCCCTTTAAAGCTTCAAGTACCGTTTTGCTGCTCTGGGCAAACCTTATTCTTAACAGAAAGGGTCAAAAATGGCTGTTGTGATTGAGGAAGATTAAACTGTCTGATGATGACACAATTCAACATGAAATGATGGTTACCTCACATTCGCCCATGTTTACATGTCCCCTTTTATCTACAAGCCCAGGCAATAAGCAAGAACTAAAAGCAACTGCAAATGACTGGTGAAGGAAATTTGGAATATTTTGAGTGAAATGTGAGTCTAATTAAAGGGAATTAATAGCCTGGCGAGCCAGATTAAACAAATACTTTGCAAAGCAAGAATTTGGTCTAGTTCACTATAGGCTAGGGAATTAAGTTTACCGAGCAGACAATTTGCAATAAAGAAACTGTGAAACTTTGAAATGTCAGGGGTTACTTTGCCTAAATTGTAAAACTGCAACTTTTGTGTTTGAAACCAAAGTTGAGATTTATGCATTAGCATTATGTTAACTGATAATTACCTCAGTTGTCCAGTCTTTAATCCAATAATGCAATTTTATACAAGCTGACATAGTAGAACATTAAGAACATTTTGCTTTGTATGTTGTCAGTTTGAAACATTACAGATCACTAAAAAACGTACCCACTTCTTGTTTATCTTGACATTTGAATCCAAAATTTCAGTTTTACTACACAAACAACTCTTTATAACTAACCCTAAAAGCATGTAATTAATTGCAGTCTGAGCGTGCACACATCTTCTCACACTGGATGCTTCGACATATTCAAGCCGTATTTCAGCTCATACATATATTACTGGACTGTCAGTCAGAGGACATGTCTGTACCAGATTCCTATTATTCTCTGTTTTTTCTTCCTTGCGGGCAAGTGAAACTGTCAGGGAGTAACTGCAGAGTTTCAGCACCTCAGGGCAAAGATTATTTTATTATGAAGCCCTTGCATGCTGGTCTTTCTGCTGGTGTTTCTGCCAAATGGATCAGCGCCAAAGGCAGATAGGTCTCTCGAGGTGCACGAAGTGTGGGAAACACAAGGAAAACAGAGAGGGAGTGTGTGCAATTAGCTGTAAATGGATTGCACAACAGAAGAGTAAACGTGAGCAGTCATGGAGTTTGTTGGATGTATGAAATGAAAGAGATGTGCAGAGGCATGCTGGAAAGCACCTGACCCACCGTGAGAAACGTCAGAGCTTTCAGGCACACGCTCCGCTCAAGTCGTGGTGGACTGTTAACACTTGTCCTCCTATCCATGATACGAACTTGTCAAGGCGTGGTTAGGTCTTTAAATCAAAAAGTGCTGATGTTCCAGAAACGGAACGTGCTTTTCGACATCTCTATGAAACCTGAGTCTCTGCTTGTCTTCTTTTGTCCTATCTCTGACATGATTTGCTTATTTTGGGGTTAAAATTTGAGGCCATGAGAAAATTGTCTGGAAGGGATTCACAAGGTTGGAAAGGGGAAGACGAAAAGCTAGGAAAACAAATTCCATCAAAGCTTAATATAGCAATGAAACCCAGAGAGGTCAGTACTAAGTGCATGAAAACAGTAAAAATTTCTTTGAGATTAAATTTGATTGTTACAAAATGGACTCTAGCCAATCAGGACCGTAGATCCTGAGCTGCAGCATGTCGTGGTTCCTTCTACTGAAAGTTCCTTCCTTCCTTTTGTGGGAGCAGGGATGGAGCCAGACCAGAGTTCATGATAAGAAGTAGCTCTTTTTGACAAGAACTACATGATGTCATCTTACTATC